GCAAATTGTGAGGAAATCTCGATGCTGGGACTGGAGATGAAATAAAATTCAATTGCCCCTCAATAAAATCGATCCAAAGGATTGCACCGAGGAAATATACTTGCTTATCTGAATTACACTGAGTAAAGAGTAAAGATTAATGCCCGGTATGATACTGGCAAATGGTTGGCTTTCGCCACGGGTCGCATTTTTTTTTTCGGTGGTTTTTTTGCTGGTGTCATGAGGAAGCTAAATAACGATCGTTTGATTATTAACCGCTATCCATAATCGAACGTTATTTGTGGTACAAAGGGTATTACGTATTTTATTGGTTACATTGCCGCGTATTAATTTGAATTCGCGATGATTATTCCTCGGGTCGACTCCCCGGTCTGTTGACTTAATAAATAAATGTTGTTTATTACTGCATATTTGTCATTTTTTTAATTCCAGGGGAATTTTTCGCTGGACCACACGTGGGAATTCTACATGAAGGCGAATCCTCAGGGATTTCATGATCGAATGATTAACATTTTTTTATAAAATATAATTAAAATTGCAATTGCAATCGCAATTGCAATTCCAATTTTTTATGGATGTATAAAATTTTTGAACAATTCTCTAAATAAAATAATAAAATAAAGGGATGGCCCTTTTTTTTTATTATTTTATTTAGAGAATTGTTTTGTCGTATTTTTGTTGTCAAATGACAAATACTGGGGAATTTTTTCCCCGGAGAACTTTCTCATCGCAAAAACAACTCCTAGATAATCCCCTAATTGCCGATTTTATATTCACCTGAAATAATTTTATGTCTCCATTCCTCATATTACCGGTGGCACAATGAAAAAGTTAACAATAATTGTGATTTTCTATTAAATGGGTAATAAAATGTTCAGTTATTCTAAAATTCCCATAATTTTTCCAATTATTGGTAATTACAGAAATCCGAGAAATGAACGGTTAAATAGAAAACAAATGTTTTGAATATAAAAATGGGGAATAATTCTCGAGTAATTTATTGCATTCTTTGGCGATTTCTAATCGTTGGAAGACTTTTTGTCATCATTTGCAATAATTTTTTGGCGTTTTTGGCATTCATTAAACATATCTCATTACACTTTTTCTTAAACATCTTTTTTGGGTTGTCACTGTGATTTATTCAATGCGACTCCACTTTTCTCACTTATCTGCGACGAGAGAAGACGCTAATGGATGCCGTGAATGAGGTGAAGATGAATTTCAGAGAAAATAATATAAATTTCTATCTGTACGTCAGGAGTGAAAAATGACACTTTGTCACACCATCATTACGTCAGGAGAAAATTGCAAAATGATTTATTTAATTTGAATCAAACAGTGACTCTGCAGATCTCCAGGAAATAAAAACAGATTCCTAGATCCTAATCAATTTTCCAATAAATTCAACCTCTCGCTCCCCCAAAAAAAAAACAATTTTCGAAAATCGAATCGATTTCTTCCAATTTATTTATTTCTCACAGTAAAATTTATCCGATAATTAATCCGTTGGAGGAGGGGTGGTTAAACAATTAATTACCAACTCAAGTCATGAAAGTTGAAGTAATTCCTCTGACAAATTCGGTACAATTTGTTAACCAACGAGAAATTATTATCGATTTCTCAATTTTAAACGTACGACGCACTTCCCTTTTCCCGCGATTTATAATCCTGTCCATTCCGCGAATGACTAAAAAGTCAATTAACGTATATAATTTAACATGATCACAATCTCGTCCATTGTACACACGATTAAATTGATTTATCCGTGTCGTTAGAGTATTATTTATGAGAATTGATGCTAGCGTTGTATTCCACACTTGGATACAGTAGTGAATTTTACTTGCGTATGGAATTCGATATTATCAGCTTGACTGATATGACATCGTGCGACCTGTGTGCATGAGTTTATTTATCAAAATTTTATTTTTTTACATTTTCTGGGAGATGAACGGTATTTAACTGCCGCGATAATTCAGGAGACGAGGGGAAATATTTTTTTACACATTTTTTTAACGTCTGAAAGATTTTTTTATCCCAAATGAAGCGCGATATTTTACCGATTTATTTCATCTCCGGCTTTCGTTCCACATTATCCGGACAAAGTCACCATTTTCCCGCCAATTTGAATACAATCGTTCCACCTGTTGCAAAAAAAAAACTCTCGAAAATGAACAATGACGTTCGATTCATTGCAGTAAGTGGAGAATATGTGCCAAAAAGCGAGGGTACAGAGGAAAAAAAAAAAAGAAATGGGCTACTGTCTTTGGAGGGAATTGAAAGATGTCCAGCCGAGCGCAACAATGGCTTTGTCCTTCTCCAGTCACTCCTGTCCCATTTTTTATTCACGTTCCATTGATATTTTTATTTACCCACTTTTTATTACCTCCCCCGACACCCCCGACCGCCCCCCCTCCACCGTCTCAGCCATTCAAATGCATTTTTCCGAGATTTTTCCTCTGGATTTTTCGCCAACGCCACCCAGAAGCGGAACGACAAATTTATATTTCTCATAAATTGAAAATTATTTTCAATCTTTTTTATTGATCCGCATTTCGCCTTAAAAAAATTGATTTTTATTTATTTCTTCTTCTCACAAAATTCTAGGATAGCATTATAAAAGGAGAAACAAATGGGGATAGAAAATTCTGGAGAAGAATTTCTGAAACTTGAAATTCTCCCGAGAGGGAAAAATCCTAGACGATCCACTGCAAATTCCCCCAAAAAATTCCCCGGAATTCGACGCCTGCTCTGGATTTCCCCGAGCCATAGAAAAAGTGAAACGGTATTCTCAACCGAAAAAAAAGCATAAATAAAAAAAAAACAACCGCACGCCAGAATAAACAGCAGACATGTAGTGTAAATAGCAGTAAAAGCAATTGGGAGAATCGCTGGATGAGTTTTATGCCCCCTAATATGAGTCCGCAATAAAGGATTAAAATTCGCGGACAATGCGGTAAATAAAAAATTCTAAATTAACGGTGCGAGAGAAAAAATTCACCGAAAATTGAGAGATTTCTGCCAGTCATTAATTCCGCGGTAGCCAATGAACCCGTGACCTATGAAATTATTACTTATAAAATTCTCCCCATCTCCCCCTCCCCACCCACACCCCTCCCGGTCACGTGAAAAAATTAATCTGTCACTGGGAACTCATTATAAATAAATAAAAACGAATATGCAACAAATTACGGAACAATTCCAGGTGTGGGGAAATTTTTATTGAAATTCTGAGTAGAAATTTTTCAAATCTTTATATTTATTATGACAATGATGATTATTGGTATTATTGTTATTATTATTGTTATTATTATTATAAAAATATTGGATTATTCAAATAATTTTCGTTTTGGAAGCGGAGGAAACTGGAAAATAATAAATATCGAGATTTCTCTAAAGGCGCGATTTTTAAAAAACATTCAGAATTTGCAATTCCAACAGAAATTTAACTCCGACTTGCAATTTTTATTGAATTTTTGATTTCGCCCGCGCAAAGTCGTTTTTACAGAGATTATCTGGAAATTCTCATTCAATTTTTATCTCTCGGTATTAAGTAATTATATTTATTCCGAGTATTTGGAGGCAGCGAGAGAAAACGGAGAACGGGAAAAAAAAAGTGTTGTTTCCGGCGTTCGACTAATCGACAGAACGTGTGCTCGAGAGGTACAATAGCGAAAAAATGGCGAGAGAAAAAAAAACAGAACGTTTCTATCTGCATAGATAATCTGCCAATGGGGATTTGGCGTTCCGGTTTGAGTTTTTGAGACAGAGAATGCCAGGACAATTGATCCTGACATTTTGAGGCGCAGTAAGGCATTTTTTTTTCGCTTCTGTTGAGAATTTTATTGAGATTTCGAGTGAGTTTGGGCATGTGGAGATATATACGCTAGTTTCTCAAATTCCTTGCCCCTACCAGGAGGATATTTTCGAGCAAGTGGTACTGAGTTAACGGTTCAAGATCATTCACGTCGGCATCTCTGTTGTCATGAAGGAAGAAAACGAGAACGAATAGGTCTGATGGCAAGGCAATTATATGCAGGACAAAGGATGTGGAACGACGTCGATTAAAATGGTCTTTCTCATTCACTACCACCAAAAAAACCCAAGAATTTCACAAAAAAAAAAGACCCACCAGACGTGAATATCCATTTTCAACAACTCCGAAAGGGAGTCATTACTCGATTAAATAAACTATTGCATGGTGTCGTTAAATGGTCATGAAAACGCTCATTAATTTACTTTTCAGCTCGTAAATAATCCTCCAGCATTTCCCATTCTAATTTCCTCTCATTTCTCCCTTTTTCCACTCAAGTTTACAGCCAATTTCCCATTCCATTCCACGAACACAATCTCGTTGCATTGAAACAGATAAATAAAATAATTGACAAATTGTTTTTACTGCGGTACGATTGAGTAATCACGATTGAAAAATAAATGAGATCGCGCTGGCACGATGACTCATGGAGCTCATAAAAATTGAGAACTGAAAAACCGGAAGTTGCTGTTGAAATTCTTTCACCAATTATTCAAGGATGTGGATTCATCTCATTTGACTTCCAGTCAAGGCTTCATCAGTCTCTCAAGGACTCAGACCTGAAACAGGAGACTGAATAGAGACAGGATTCAGGTTTACGTAATTCAATGCCAACTTGTTGCACCCGGAAGTGCATGGAGATTCCAACGGATCTCCTGCCATTAAAATTTACCTCTTCGTCTTCGAAACCGAGATATTCTCATATGGAGAACAAAACCTCTTTATAAAATCCAGCACGAAATCTAAATGAGAGGATAAAACGCACGTCTTCTCTCGGAACAAAAGGCCAAATACCTCCATTGTCATGAGATTAAAGTTGATGCTTCAAAGAATTTAATGAGAAAGAATTGTACATCTGCAGCTGACTGATAAAATCGTGACAACTCGTCATCACATCATTTTTTAAGGATTAATCAACTAATCAACTATTTTTTACTCTAATTTATTCTAACGAAATAGAAAATAAATCTAAAGAAAATCTACTCTCTTTATTTCACCACTTTGCAACTGATGTTTCATTTCTCCTCATTAATTTCCTATTTGTTATAAATTTTTATACGAAATATCTATAAATATCTTTATTCTGATAACATCTATTAATTTTAATAACGAAAAGAACAAGAATGAGTTTCAAAATATCAGGTGAAAAATAAAAAAAATATCGATTTAAAAATGTAAAAATAAATACTCAATATATTCGTGTCAGGACGTTATCTTAAAAATAAACAGATTGTCTACAGATACTAAAACTATCATGATGAATTAATCCCAGAGATTGATTTCATGATTTAGTCTCTTTTGATCCACTGGCAACTCAACGATTAAGTCTGGATTAAAATCTGAAAATTGAGGACAGATAATTTAGGTCTCCGATGGAGTAGTGGGTGTGCGATAGATCCCCGAGAAGATGATGGACTTGCTCTCCTTGTCGTACAGCAAATAAATAAAAGGATGATTGGCCTTGAAGACAGCAGGTTCAGCAGGTCTGCTGGATCTGAAGCTGAAGATGGCAGTGGCAGCAGCAGCTGTTGTTCCCTCCTCGTTTAACTCAATTTTTGCTCTGTGTACAGCATCACCGAGATGAACGCGATCAGGTTGCTCCACGAAACCACTGAGATCAGCTGCATTCTGACTGACAAGCTCACCAGCTCCCATTTCCACCAGGAGACGAGCAACAGGCAGCTCCTTCTCCACTGTAAAACGAGGAAGTGACACCTCGACCTCTTTGGAGGGCATTCCGTCGTTAAGGATGTCCTCGAGCTCCTGGATTCCCCTCTCGGTAGTCGTCATTCTCTCGATTACTTGTCTGATTCCATCATCACCAGCTGTTCCATCTTCATACAGAGATCTCGCCATTGCGAATGGCGGGAGAATTATGAACATCGAGATGTCCTTGCCCTTGTAGGGCAGCTGCAGAACGTGGGCACCGAGTTCTTCCGAAACCACTGCAAGTTCAAACAATTATTCGTGAATAAATTATTTCTCTGCGGGAAGTGGAAATTTGATCCTCAATGAGAAAAAGGAAAACCTACTGTGATTGAATGTCGTCTTCTGCCTCATGAAAGTGACGAATGAATTTTTGGAGCCGTAGAAGATGTCCCTGTTGGAGTTGGCGCTGTCAAATTTACTCTGCCAGAGTCCCTTGAAGTAGACAGCATTGACGAGCACCAGATCGCTCGTCTCGTCGATTCCATCCGAGGGAATCAAATCCTTTATCTGTCCTTTTGTGGTATTACTGACCCAATCATTGATTCTCACTCTCACAGCATTGGGATCCATCCCGAAGTCCACTTTTTCAATCTCCTGGTTGAAGATGTCCACTATACACTGCTGTACCTTCTTGGCACTGCTGATGTACAGGCGATTGGCAGTCCTGAATTCGTAATCTGATGAGCCATTTCCCTGGGGATTATCCAATAATTACTCGATCATACAGAGAAATAAAAAAAAGACTCCCATCGAATGAATGAAGTGAAACGGAAATTTGAATGAGTTAAATTAATTAGTCTCAATTCAGAATTAATTAGGCAACACAATTTATTATTTCTGATCTTTCAGAGGATTTCTCTGGAGCTTTTCAAGAATTATTGTAGATCAATTGAAAATGTTAAGTTATTTATTATTTTTAATCTTGAAGAGCTGTGGACAGATCGATAAATATTCAGCGAGAGGTGAAAATATTTACCAGAAACTCTTGAATATTTTTGAAAGCCCTGTTGAGGGAGTAAATCCGTTGGACATCAATCTTGGAGAGATGTTGAGGTATTTGGAGTGCTCTTCTCAGAGACTCCGATGTTGTACCACGTGCACCAAAGTAAACTAGAGTTAAAGCCTCGTGCAAACTGTGAGGACTGAAGAATAAATTATCCTTGGGCTCGATAGCCGATGATTTTCTGAATGCATCGAGTGTGAACTTGAATTTGGCAGCTGTCAGCAAGTTCTTGGCATCTGGGTTCATCGACGTTGGATTGTCATTCTCGGTTATGCATTGAGAATTTATTCTCGTGATTGTGCAGAGGATTAATATGTACAGAGTAAACAATCCCTGGAACATGAAGAATCTTTAATTAGTAAACAATTAGGAAAAATGAGAGACAATCGGTATTTATTTGTAATTGATTCATTGAAATATTTTGATTGAATTGAGATTTGGGAATATTCAAAATTTTCTTTTTGCTATTCCAATTATTTTACGAATGCAATAAGTGGTGAGTATGTTAATAAATAATTAATAATAATAATAGCCTTCGGATATTATTAAAAATAATAAAAATTCAACGATTAAATGAATATCGATTTAGACTCAATCGACTTCAGTTCTTCACAGCAGAATCCGATAATTATCCGTTGAGAAATCTTGTTTACAGAATATTTTATTATCCCTCTGTATCATTGAACTAACAATAAAAATTGTGGAGAGCTGCGTAAAGAGATAACTGTTCGTCAGCAAGAAGTAAGGGCATAATTACGAATTTCAGAGTTATGTAAAAAATTAAGAAACCAAAGACTGTCCATTAATAGTGGTGAGGACAGTAATCAGGGGAGTCCATGTCCTCTTTCTCGTTGCCAAGAAATTCTTGCTTGAGAGCTCCACTGATTATTACCAAATCGAATGACGAGGATGATTTCCAATCGTTTCGACACGTCGATCTATCACCCATCGATTACGCTATCAATATCTTTCAGTTTCATTCCCGAGAGAATAATTTATGTAACAAAAAAAATAATAAGAATCAATTGTTGTAACGGATTTCAACATTTTCGAAGGAGTTAATGTCAAAAATATTGAAAACAATTCTGCAAATAATATATTATATAATTTTATTTGTTCAGTCCAAATGAATAAATTAATCTGGGGTGATGATATTTTTTTTTCAATGCGCGATATGAAAAAAACGGATTTTTGGTGAGTGATTTTAAAGCAGGTAATAGAGTTCTGCGGATGAGAAAGACTTTCACGCTAACAAAAAATGTGAATACGTGGAGAAAGCGGTTGTGTTTACGAGATGGTCTCGTACGAATTGGGAACACCCGGTAATTTCGTAATGTCCGGATCCTTTTCGTGCAGGATTTTATTTTATTATTCGCCTTTTCCGGTGATTTTTGCCGATCGAACCTACTCGATCTGCGCAAGGACATTTTATTTGAAAATCATCATTACTCACATGACGTAAACAACACGATGACCTCTCCCCTTTTTTCAATAATTATCTGATAATTCAATAATAATCATTATCGTTACTATAAATTGCATGGAATTTCTTCGATAATTTCTCACTTTAATCTCATCACAAAAATTCCCATTAGATTAGATGACATTTGTTATTATTATTATTAATTAATAAATAAGTTTATGTTATTTATGAATATCAATTCAATTCGTTAATTATTTTTCTTGATTCTCCAATAATTCAATACTTTTTTTATTAATTAAAACAGCGGTTTTGAGGATTATTGGGTGAAAATGGATGATCGAGTGGTAATAATAAACAAATAACTGACGTAATGAACGAAATGAGATTAATTGAAAAAAGAAATTGGTAAGATTCACCGGAAGAAGTGAAAGTGGCGCGCATGACGAATGAAAAACATTACAAAAAAGTATTAAAAAATTCTTCAACAAATTGTTGAAGAAATCATTTTTTAATTCCCTACGCCCTCAAAAAAAAATTATTATTATTATTTTGCGCACTAGGGTGAATAATCGCGGATTATCGAGGCCTTCATGGTACACCGGCTGAAAAATAATCAGCGGAAACAGTAAAAGAGACTTCAACAGCTTTTTATCTATTGTTTCGGAGTAAATTGTTTTAATTACTCACCGAATTGTCCATTGTCACAATTGGAGGATGGAATTGAAAAAATTACAAACGTTCTGGTGGAGTTTTGTGAACAGAATGGAGGTGACAGGGAAGTTGTCGACGCGTTTCGTTTCTCTCCCTCTTTTTTTCCACTGAGGAATTCTCTCTCATGTATGTACTGAGGTACCTGACGCACCCATTTCCACCTCCACATTTTTTTTTCCAAGGAGGAGAAGTTGCTTTTTTTTTATTCACCATGAGGAACTCGCAAGATTTTTCAAATCACGGGCAGAATTTATTTATTAATTCCCTCGAATTAACTAGACAATCAGACAACTTATTTATAATAATTGTCATCATAACCTGACAATTATTATAAATATTATTGTGTAATTATCATGATGTCAGCGTTTGGAAAATTCTTGAACAATCATTACTCTAATTAATTTCGATGAATTGCAATGTGTCAAATTTAATTGAGAGAACGACTTGTAAATTTTTATCGAATTGTTGTAAATGTTTTTTAGGGTAATTTAATTATATTATTATGTAAGTATTATATATATTGTTGTGTAATTATCGTGAGTTCAACGGTTGCAGTCGAAATTTTCGGCCAATGAGAAGAATGAAAAAAATGAAATATTTGATAATATTATTCTGGCAAAATGTCGGGAGTGAAATCGAAAAGGAGATCCGGTTAATCAGAGGTCAAGATCATTGTCGAGAGAATAAATTAATCGTCAATCCCGTATACAAGAGGTCAGAACTGTCATGAGTCATTTAGACTGCTCTCGATATTAAGTACACAATTGCCCGCCCCTTGATCGCAATTTTATTGGTTATTTATGCAATCGGGGCACGTCGGCCTCTGGTATATTTTCATGAATTTGTCTCACACTCGACTGTGAAATCGGTTTGATGAGAAATTAGTCATGGATTTTATATCGAGAGCGAATCGATTGTTTTTCGCGACGCAGTATCGAGTTAAAATTCGATGCCGCATTTTCCATCGCAGCCCGATTACTAAAATCGCACCCCAGAAGCATTCGAAATCACAATTATTTATTTAACTACTCATAATTACATAATATTTATTGAATTACCGCAAGTGTTTGATGGGTATCGAAAATCGTAAAATCATAAGTCGAGTTCAATATGTAACGAAATTATAGATTTATATCGATAACCATTGACTTCACGTAAAATTGTCAAATAACCTTTTTTATAAATTATTCAATTTACAAACAAAAAGTCTCTTAACACTTTCTCCTGGAATCAATCGTTATTGAGATAAATCGAAGAAACCGAATTGTCTTGAATATCAGAAAAGCAGATTGACAGAAAAATTTTCACCGCAAAAATTCTCTTCGTTTTACAAAAGATTCGAAGAGTATTCACTTGCATTTCCGAGGTTTTAAAAAACATGTTGACCCACATAATGAAAAAAACAATGAAGATAAATAATATCGTTTATATTTATTATCGTATTTCACTTCCTTCCGTCCGCGCGTCAGTTTTCCATTTTGAAAAGCAGAACGGAGTGATACCAAGTGACCGGTATCACCAGGTCGAATTTATGCCTGACGACTGCAATAAATTTCTCCATTCGATGAACCAATGACAAAGCCAAAACTTTGACAATTTCATCGGTGAAATTCTTACCTTCATTTTCAAAAAATTTTCGCTTCCCTATATTTTCAAAATGCGTTACGAATTGACTTGATCACTGGTAAGAGTTAATGTTGCTAATTCAATAGACTCTTTCAACATCACAATTTCCACATCGAGGTTTGGCATTAGCCAATGCTGGACTGGACAAAATCCCTGACGATCACAGCTTTATATTCCTCCCGGGTGTTTGCCGGGGGCCGGATTTGTTCTGCCCTTCTCAAACTCAAAACTCATACACGAGTATAAGTTCAACTCACATTATCAAAGATTGGGCCAGTGTTGGTGATTACGCTCCAGTGTTTTCTCAAATACACGAGGTGACGTAGGCCGGAACGAAGCGAGGGAAAATCCCAAGAATATAATGTCTTGACCAGAGATTTTTATGGTACACTTTTTCCGGAATTTTATTTAACGATGACAGTCCCAGATCACCTTCCGGAGCTCTTGCAAAATGCGATAATTATTTTTTCATCACCAGTGAATGCGCTGAAAAATTCTATCAGCCCAAATCTATTAATCATGAATTTTTTTCTTCTAGAAAATCTGCATTGAATATGAATTTCCTGAAAATTGTAGAATCTCGAAACTTGTGGCCGTTTTTTTATTGTTAATAATTTTTTTACATCCAGGAGCATTATTGCAAATTATTGCAATTGCAAACGATTTTGTTTAGATTAAATTAGAGATTGGAATTCATCGGGAGCATTAAACTCTATATTTTCTTAAGATTTCGCTCACGAGTGTCTTCTGGTGGATGATTAAGAGTGATTTCTATTCATTTTGGATTTATTTCGAGTTCATTTGTATTTCATTCGCGAAGTTGGAAGGAAAAGGAGTTGAAGGTTGCTGATTTCTATCTGCAGTCACTTGCTTCCATATGAATTTACTTGGAAGCCTGTCTTTTTCAATTTTCCTCATTTCCCCTTTTTCTTCTCAATAATTATAATTATGATCAAACAATCGAAGTTCCACTAAGCACATCCTGGAATTTTCTAGACTCCCTCTCAAATGGAAGTGTTCAATAAACTCCGAGGAGCAATGTAATGTACAAATTTTTGTAACATGAAAATTTATTGTAAAAATACATTCTGTCATAAAATCTCTAATAGTAAAAAAAACCTGAGGGTCGAATCCCATGATTCAATACTTGATAACAATTCGTAAAACTCTAATGAGTACGACTGTCAGAGCTCTTGAAAAACTAATTATTAAAAAAATCTGCTTTTCCCCGAATTTTCATAGCTATAATACTGTTGTCAGGGGCAGACTTTTTATTATTTTCAACTGCTATTCTCCTCGATCTTCTGATTACCAGATGTTTCACTGGAATTATCCGTGGGAGCCCAAGCTGTTATCATCGCGCCTCTTCTATACGATTTTATGATTGTGATAATAGCCGCAGGGATAAAAAATATTGCGAGAACGACGAAGTACCAGGCGTAGACGACAAACTGAAAATTTTAATTATTCTGAGTGTTATCAAATGAAAAATCATTTCACTTTTTTCTTTTACCTGTTGTCTGATGTCTAATTTGAAGACACGTCCACTCGTCACGATGTACGTCAAAATGGTTTGAAAAATTAGGGATACCAAAATATTTATCCCGAATACTAGCCCATAGCTGTCTTCAGATATTTTCTTTGCTACCTCAAAACTAGAAGAGAATTAAAATTCAACACGCCACGTTATTTTTTTCACTGTGTAGAACTCAAAATTTTTTATTAATTCGTCAACTCACCTCGCCACCGTCACAATCGTATGATAAATAACTCCAAAGATAATGTAAAGAGTATAGAGCACCCAGATATTATAATTATGTGCCGTCACGAAGAGGAGGAAAGCCTCGACGAAAGTGAAGACAACCAGCACAGCCTCCCCGAGGAACTCCCAGTTGAGTCTCAATCTTCCAACTGCGAAAACCGCAGCTGCGCCTAATTAATTAATTACATCAATCAATATTCAATAATTTCTATCTCTTCGTATCCAATTTCTCCGGAGTTTCAACTGAATTTTTTAAAAATATAAAACACAGACAGAAATGTCATTATAAAATAACAAATTATAATCGAATTCTCCCAGAATGTATTTTCTACGTCAGAGTATATTATGGTATAAATTTTTCTCTGTCTCGCAGAAATTGAATGATAAAACAACGAAAGACAATTGCAGCTGAAAAATAGTCATTGTAGAATTCCTGAGTTGACGACAATTGATAGGATTGAGTGCCATGATATCTTGTATCGTCCTGAGATTACGTATGAAAAAGATCGAATAAATGTGTGCGTAAACGAGTGTGATACAACAATCAGTGAAGTTTATGTTTGATTTTTATTGATGCGGTTGCAGTCACTGTTTGTATATTAAATGGCATGTTTGTGAAAGGTAACGCATATCAGCTGTGTTGAAATCATAAATCGGTTTTTCGATGACTTCCTGGGAAATAAAAGAATGGGAATACACCACTCAAATTTCTTCCTAGCATTTCTTCAATTCAATTCAAAGCGATAAAAATAAAAGTACCTCTCAATTTTCTCATCTAACGTCCCAAATTTTAATTGTTAGAAAATTGGAAAAGTTATAAAATAAATTGACGTACCAATGATGGAGTAGAGGGCTTCAACAGCTCCGTTGTATATCTTATCATCTTTTTTTACAGCAGTTTGCCAGACAGGCTGACTGTAACTGAGCACTTGGAGATACCCACAAGATGCTGCTGCCCACCATAACGACCACTTGAGCACGTGGAAGCTAGTGTAGGCCTTCAGGAAATCCTTCCACAGTAGATAATACGCTGATTTTATTTTCAATACCATAGGTTTTGCCTGATGGCCTTTCAAGGCGACAGATGACTCCACTCCAGAGTCAATTGTTCGTTTTGCAGAACTGGAGTCTGAGGAATTATTAATTCCATCGGTAATTGTCATGGGACGGTGGAAATACACCGACTGCTTCACCGGTGGGAGAAATAAGGCCCAAATCGTTGCTAGTACTTGACCTGTAGAAAATATAGATTAATTATTCCACGAAGAAAATTGGCATTGCTCTATTCAGGAAATAAAAGAAATGAAGGGGTGTATTTATCGGAATGGTTTACACACCTGCAATAGTCAGGAAATTTAGCTGGTGATAGTTCATTAGTTGATAAGATATGATTAATTGAGATACGGTGCTAGCGAAAAAACGTCCGAATAGAAATGCTGATCTGGTGTAGCTCGACACTTTTTCGTAATGTTTCTTATCGACTTTGGCATAAATGTAAGTATAATAAGCCACGTCTGTTGAGAGATAAAAACCGTACATGAATTCCAGGAATTGCATTGCACCCAGACTTTTTCCGAAAGTCAATGTGCAGAAGGCGATGATTCCTGACAATCCGCAGAGGATTATTATGGGTTTGTACCTCAGGAAATCCGTCAAGAGGAAAATTACGACGAGGGTTGCACAATAGCTGTAAGTGCCGACGGGATAAATGTCCTCGGTCACCTGAGAAATTACTAAAAACCATTAACTATACCAAATTATCTCGATATTTATATCGATATTAGTCCAAAAAAAGATTGAATTTAATTGAGAGATGAAAAGAGAATTTTTTTCAGGAGGGCTGGGTGGATATCTTCCATCGTGAAAATTCTCGGGAAAACTCGTGAGTTCTGAGTAGGGCAAACATTTCAGTCGATACCTCCTCGATTTTCATGTTCCCCTGATACTTTTTTGAAAATTTCGATTTTTTCAATTTCAGTGAATACCTCCTCGATTTTCATGCTCCCCTGATACTTTTTCAAAAATTTCGAATTTTCAAATTTCAGTGAATACCTCCTCGTCTTTCATGTTCCCCTGATACTTTTTCAAAAATTTCGAATTTTTCAATTTCAGTGAATACCTCTTCAATTTTCATGCTCCCCTGATACTTTTTCAAAAATATCAAATTTTTCAATTTCAGTGAGCACCTCTTCAATTTTCATGCTCCCCTGATACTTTTTTGAAAATTTCGAATTTTCAAATTTCAGTGAATACCTCTTCAATTTTCATGCTCCCCTGATACTTTTTTGAAAATTTCGAATTTTCAAATTTCAGTGAATATCTCCTCGATTTTCATGCTCCCCTGATACTTTTTTGAAAATTCGAATTTTCAAATTTCAGTGAATACCTCTTCAATTTTCATGCTCCCCTGATATTTTTTCAAAAATTTCGAATTTTCAAATCTCAGTGAATACCTCCTCGATTTTCATGCTCCCCTGATACATTGAATTACCTGTTCTGATGTAAAGTTTTTCCACTCCGATGTGAGATAATCCGTGATAAAAGGTTCTCCAGGTCGGAATTCCTTCAGGAAACCGAACATGCAGAGAATTTGTGATATCCTCACCCAATCCATTGTAGAATTAATTTTTTAATCGATCAATCGGAGTTTTAATTATCAATGTTATGAGATATTCACCGGGTCCTCGAATTTAGGTTATTCCATTTCCAAGTGGAAGGTGAGTACATGGTACAGTGATAACATCTTCAATTATCGGTTGACGTAACTTTTGAATAGATAACGAGCGCTTGAATTTTTCTCTTATAAAAATTAAAATTTCTTCCCGGAACAAGCAAATGATTATTTCATACCTCTACAAGTACTAGACTATTGAAATGGGTACAATCATCTAGAGCGAACGCGATACTCGCACCATCTGCAGTTGCAAATGCACGTGGTTTCTCAGAATTCTAAAATTAGAATGAATCTGCGGGAATCACTCCTGAGATTTAAAAAATCCCATCATTTAACTAATGAACAATATTTTCTTAAAAAATAATGCGTGCTCCAAGCATAAATAATATTTTTTTCCACCTGTAATTCAAATAATAAATCATCTCCATAAGTTTGTGTTTTCCTCGTATTTTTCATTTTTAATGGAGGAATTATCGAATAATAAATTGGAGTGGAATAAATAGAATAATTCTGAACCACATGAAGTCGGAACCCTGGGATCTCCAATATATAGGATTTATTAAATTATTACAGTCATTAAACGAGAATACACAATTTATGCATATACATATATATATTATATATATTCCATTACTGTCTATCTAATGCTCTCGTATATCTCCACCTATTACGATCCCTTTCCCCTCCAACAATTCAGATTTTTCTCTTAAAAAAAGAGGAATCACTCAACTCTTCATTTTTCAACATTCGAAAAATTCTCGTATTAATTCACGTGATGTTTTGTTTATTATCTACTCTCGTTGTTGAAATACAATAGATTCGTTATTTGTCCATCAGCTATTAACTCTCCACCGATAATCTCCAAGGGTATCAATTGTTTCAGATATCTGGAGATGAAATAATACTTTTATCCGGCTTCTAGTCATTCCATGATTTATTGTTCTGATTTCAGTCGTGAAGAGACGAAACACTATATCCAATCAAAAGTTAATCGATTTATTGAATAACTCGAAATGTAAAGGATTCATTTTCCATCGATGAAGTATTATTTCTCCTTTATATTGCGAGGTATTTATTTGAAAACTCTATCTAAATATTATTCCGACAATTTAATTTTCCGAGTCCTTTGGACTTTGGAGTTGAGTGAAACAACAGAGAAAAATAAATAGATTGTTTATTGCTCGACACTTTCCACGTCAATTCTTTATTTCCCTCAACCCCAGAGTAATCCAGTCATTAATTTTAGTCTCAATTTATTATTCACAAAAATGGAATTACGTAAAATTTACAATCTCTTCACAATTTCGGACACTCGCATTCGCACAAGCCCTCGTTCATTATTCAATCTCCTTCATTACTTCGAATTTTAAATATTAATTAGACATTTACAAATAGTGTTTAATCTTAAATTATTATATTACTTTCTAAATTCCATTTCGTTGCTGTGCAACATGCCCTCATTGATTAGTTTTCTATTCTCCCACGTTCTTTTTCCGTCCAAAGGTACAATTATCCTCAAACGAACAGTTTCAACTTTGGCAAGGTGACAGTTCAACTATTTTCGTGCTTTTTTTGTTTGTGATATCTGGTTTTCACTAGGAAATTAAAAAAATAGGCAACAGGAGAATGTCAAAGCATGTGATTTATTCCTGAATTAACTCTACGCTCGTGGATTGAATTTTAGTGACAGAATTCCGACATTAATCTCCTCGTTACTCGATTAATCCCCAAAATATTCTCCCTTTTGTTCACTTCATAACACGTGACTACTCGATACTCCAAATTCATCATCATTTTCCTTCTTGAGTATCTGAAAAGCACAGACAGTGTAAAATTTTCTGTGTTAAGCACAATATATCATAAAGACTGTCAAAAAATGAAAATAAATAAACTTGATTCCAATTGACTGTTCAAATGCCTCGATTAATCTCAGCCGATCATCAATTCCAATCGGAAAGTTCGTTTAACCAATGACTTTTGTATTTAAAAAATCTCCATAAACTCGAGGTAGAAAAACTTTAAATAAACGAAGGAAATAAACGCAGCGCAATTTCTCGTTTTTCCACTGCAATTAATTCTCCACAAATTTGTATAAATAACGGTAATATAAAAATCGACATTCAAAGCTTTTCTAGTTTAGTTGAAAAATTGTGATTTTTACATTTGTGCCACAACAAATGACAAAAAAAATTGTGCTATCTGTCGTTAGAAAATTTGTCACAATCGTGTAGTAAAATATTCTTACTCGTGCCTGCACGTACAAGTGCTGTGATCCCTTTGAAAAATGATATTAAAACTTGTCAGTAAATTAATAAGCGTAATCGGTCATCGATCGCATAAATAATGATAAAATGAAGGTGAAAAGGATGCTCTCATGGTTCAGTTTTTCTCTTTTTAATACCATCAGCACATTTATCGATAAAGCAGAGACACGGGAATTAATTTACAGCATTCGAAGACGGTGTCTTCGTCATCCTTGTGATTGATTCGTTCTCATTTTATTTCGCCTTTTTATTTTCTCCTGTGGGAACTGGAGAGAGCGCTTTTTTTTCGAATCAGGTGTTTCGTTATTTAGACGTTTGGACTTTCATTCTGCCCTAGGGAGATGAATCAGGCTCTTCTCCTCTGAGTCTCAGGCGGGCAAAATCCTCGAAAATTATGTCATCCTCGTGGTCATCTCTGGAATGTCAAGTGTAAATTTTTATTAACAAATTATTCAAAAGGGGATGGTATTCAAAAATCTCAGTTTCATAAATCCTGAATTCATTTGGAGGATCGAACAGTTTTAAATCCCAAACTTACGCATCCAATTGAATTAAATTCCCTTCGTTATTCACATGGGTATCGCCATTCTCGATCCTTTGTGTTGGGGCTGGTCTAGATGGCTGTTCCTCCTCCTCAGGCTTAGGATGCATCAGGATAAACGGTAATTCTGCAACGAGCTCACTAAAAAAAAAAACAGTGAATTTCATTCAACAATTAAATTTCCATTAAAAAAAATCACTGTCTTCTCAATCAAAAATCAATTACGACTATCATTTTAATTCCTGAATCTCTCATCATTGATCATTTTAATTTCATTAATCGGATAAATTAAATTTATTGGATGAATTAAAATTGAGATCTCCCGTTTCATTTTCTCCCGAAAAATATTTGGAATGGAGAATATGTTATTGGAGTGATATAAAAGTTTGGGAATGAAATAAAAATACACAGGATTGTCGAGTAGACAATAAATATCTGATAACACGGTTGTCCCGAGTAAAATGGGGACAAAGTTCCTGGACAAGTGGAGAGGAAAAAAAAATGGAAGTGATTGGAGCAAGTGTACTCACCCTCCCAGTGGACCCAGACAAAGTTTCACTTTGACTTTGTACTGAACAATGATGCCGAGGTTCTCCCTCTGCGATGGATCCGCAACGCTATTTCCAGAAAATTTCATTTTCTCCATTAATAACTCCATTCACAACATTCTTATAATTACCACTAAAAGCCATGCGGTTTACATCATTGATCCCATGGTCGAGTCAACTCAAGATATTTCAAAATTCTTTACAGATAAAAGTATAAATAAATCTACTTACTAAAAACCACAAAAAAAAAACGCACCACAAATTTTTCTCTCTTCGTTTTTTTTCTCAGTAATTTTTTTTAGTTATTAATAAATAACGGCATTCGGACAGTGAAACTTGATTTTATGTTCTTATTTTTATCCGGCAAAAGGGAAAAACAAATTGATAAGAAGATTAATCTCCTGATCTCTCAACCACGGGTACCACTTATCTACTTGAAATTACACTGAATTAAACAAAGGCATTAGACAAAAGCGAAGCAGTGCGATAAATAAATAATAATGATAATAAAAAGGAACGAGGAGTCATGCAGATGAGATAATCTAGAGAATTATGAGAATGAGTACCCCAGATAGGTTTCGTAAAATCAAATTTTCTACTCGAGTTTTCTGATTGTAAACTCTCAGTTAATTTATCGCTAGTCTCTTCATTGCCTCTTCGGTGGGTAATTATCTCGCTGAATGAAGTAATCAAACTGAATAATTATGGATTAAAATAGATAAACCTGTTTGACTAATGAATTGATTCAAAATGATCAATGGTTAACAAAAAATTGAATAAAAAACTCTAATCCCAGCGCATTAGCCTCGTGTAAATCGAGGCGTTGATAAATAATCGGGAGAATTGATTCGTAATTAATTCATGATATAATGAATAAAGCAAGTGAAACGGCATACCTAGTGATACTTTTATGTTCCTTTCGACCGACTGCAGAGCGATATAATAGTGTACCCGAAATATACTGTAACTTTAACTCGAAAAATTGGGGTTTTAATCATGAGAGATGAAGCGACGAGACGAATGAACTCGATTTTAATTTAAAAAATAAATAAATAATAAACAAATGCAGAGAAGAATTGATGGTGAATGACTCGTGAAAGGTGTAACACTGAAAATTAACGTCTGGTGATGATTTAGGATATCCGAAGGGCTGTAAATAACCACTTCATTATCATTATCTGTCGAATAAATTTTTCTCTTTAAAATTCCGCAATTCCTTGCGGATATCCTGCGAGCGGATACAAAAATATATTAAAAGAGAAGTGAGGGTACGGAGAAAAGATAAAAATTGTCAGAAAAATTGTCAAATGGCAGAAATATTCGACGTCCGAGTCATTGCAATTGGATTTACTTTTTTTTGGTTTTCAAGGAAATTTTGATTATTTTATGAGGCTTACAGGGTGCTGGACGCCAAATTGGTGTCCTCGTGTTTGAGCTGGCCATCAAGGGCAAGGGCCCATTTATCAGTGTTGTTGGCAAGCAGCGGTGTCAGCGTAAAAACTCTGCTCAGCGTGAAACCAGGACCGACTGTCGTACCCTCCCTATCACAGAACATTACGACAAATAGTCATAAATGTTTATTGCTTCGATAAAGGGAAAATAAATGTCTCGCAACGCCACGGATTATCGATATCGCAACGTAGAGTACGAGAGTAGAGTAAAATCCGGAGTTATTCACCCAAAAACAAAATATCCTGGACGACATCCCCTGGGCAAAATCCACCGAAAAAAATCTCCCGGGAAAATCTCCCAAAAAATCAAATTATTTCGTCTCTTCTTCATTTTGAGTCGTATAATCACCCGGTAGTAGTACGTCTGTGTAAATATTTATTCTCGCCGTTACAGTAGCTGTTGCACTTTTTTAACTCGTTGTATTTCATATCCGGGAGTAAGTACGTATTCTATTTGCGCTAGGAGAGGGCCTCTCGAGGTATTTTTTTCTCGACTTCTGATTCAATTGATCCGTTTGTTTTGTACATTATTATTTTTGGGGGATTTTCCCCGGGGGAATAACTCCTAGAATCAAATCAATTAATCAATCTTTAATTACATTTACGTAAGGAATGGTTCTTCCAGTTAATGAGAGCCGCCAATCGGAGAATTGAGAGGAATAAATCTTGAATCACTGGACACGAGAGAAATTCGATGTGATGGGGAAGAGGATCGATGGTCTGTCCTAAATTCGGGGTTCAACTTCCATCTGGAGCTGTTCTATTGATTATTTTACTGACGATTGTATCAATGGTCGAACGAGCTCACAATGTTCTCGTACCTTTCATTCGTCTAAAATTATTCGTTTTTGAATCCGTGAATTGTCGGTCGAAAAGACATCATCTCTTCCGTGAGATTTTTTAGACACTCGTCAATCATCCACTGGGGTATGCCAGGGGTTCAGTGCTGATTTGAATTAATAGATTAATAAAAATTGAAATTTCACGGAGAAAAATCGCTGTGAGAAATTGAATTGAAACTCCAAATCAATTACTTCGATTAAATTATTGAGAGACAATCCCATATGAAGCCACTTGGAATTGAATGGAGTGATATTTTTTCACAGTGAAAAACTCCGCAAATTAATACAAAAAAAAAAATCACCAACAAAAACCATTGAAAAACGCAAACCAAAAGAATAAAAAAAACACGCTGGTATAGAATGAGAAACCACCACCGCAATCCCACAGAACACAAAAAGGAAGTGAAAAAATTAATAAAAGGAACGCAGTGAGAAACAATGGAAAAATGGCAAAATAAAAAAGGACGTACACTACATTCCAATATAATTCCCAACACAAAAGCTAGAACCAAAATTCATTCCACAAAAAAAACCTGAGAAAATTCACATCTCATTCAAAACAGAGATAATTAACGAAAAAATAAGAACAAATTCCCCAGCCATTGCAATTCCTTTTACCAATTCTACATTCGGTGAACGATCGAATGGAGACATGAGACTGGAAATTTATTGAATAAACTTTAATGGTCAATTGTAAAAATTCACGTGAGAGACAATGCGAGTCATAATGGCAGTGACACAGATTCTTCATTCTCGGAAATAATGAAATAACTCCAGTTTAATGTCTCCATTTTTATCTCCTCAAACCGCTATTCCCCATAATTGGCGAAAATGCTTTTCCGTAATGGCTCACATGGTACTAGATGCTAGATTGGTGTCCTCATGTTTTAGCTGCCCATCTAGGGCGAGGCCACGCTTGTCCTTGTTGTCGGCAAGGGTTGGCGTTAGGGAATATACCCTGCTCAAGGTGAATCCTGGTGCTACCCCTATACTGTCAGGTGATATCATGTTCATTTTCGTATCTTCTCTGGGTATTTATCGTCGTGCAATTATCATAACTAATGAATTCTGCAGTGAAGGTTTAACCGTTTGGAATTTCCGGTCAAATATCTCCGAAATTGTCAGAGATATCGAAATAATCGTGAGAAGCTTTATCCTAGGTCGTTATTAGCTCCACAAAAATGGTCATAACCAAAAATTACGTTGAGCCGTTGGTTTCGGAGATATTTATCGTTTTAATAAATTACCACTTCAGTACAGAATTTTAGCTGAGTGTCTCTCATTTTTATTTAACAATACATAATAAATCCCTGATTAACTCCCACGATGATCAAACATTTGACCTTTACCGTCTCCAGTTCAGATAATTCATGGATTGACAGAGCCAATCATGTGGGCTCATTAAAGCTACGATGAACCTCTGATTACTCAGACCGAAAATTCGAAACCGTGATGTCATACGATGACGGTAAAGGTCAAGCATTTAAGGTACCGGAAATTCGTTGATGGGAATGATTCTGTGATAGAATACGGGGAATTTTCCCCTCGAAATCTCAAATATTTCCGACAAAAAAGAAACGAATTCCAAGTAATTGATTCGACGTGACCTGTAAAAAACGGAGCTGTGGACTCCAAAAAAAAAAAATGCGAATAGAAAATAATTTTTCATGGAAATGATACTCACTCGCTCTCGGCCTCGGCTACGATGCACTTGTACTGCGCTGTGGAGAACAAACAGATATCAGCGAATTGTCTCACTGATACTTTGATCTTCTTGACTGTTCTGTTGCTGTTGTTAGCGATGTGCACGTTAACAGCGATATTTTCACCGTGATGATAGAGCTCTTTATCAAGAGAAGCTTCCAAGTGTAATCTGCTAGGTGACATCATGAATTCTTTACTGACCTCCACCGACGGCTGCTCACCTTGTTTGGACGGGGCGTACATTATTTTACGAATAGCTAACTTCACCGACTTCCTACAAATAAAATTCCATTGGTCAGCATTCCAAATTATAATCCATCATTTCGAGATAATTCTAAAACTAGTCATTACTTTACACCATTTGTAATATTTCTGCAAGTAATATTAAAACATCCATAACAAATTGATATCAAATAAAAAAACATTATGAATATATCAGCTAAAGAATATATTTTCATTCGTATAATATATCACGCGAGAGTCAGGGGAATCGTAGTGAGAAATTGTTTTGATGTGATGTGATGTCTAAATGCAATTGTAAAAAATTATTCTCTGGACTAACGAAAGAAATTCATTCAGAGTCTAATGTATCTTCATAAAAAAATTATTCTTTGGAATAAATTACGTGAATGGATGAATTGATTTGAATTTCCCTGACTGCCCACTTGTGTATTAATTACTCACGAGTCCCGGCTCTGTGTTTTTCTAATAAACGGAATGATCTTTTAGTAAAATATTCTCCCTGTACATTCCGAGAGTGATAAATAATGGAGTTATTACCTTTTCTGCGGCTTATCATCCTGTGTATCCCCGACGAACGTCTTCAGCTCGTAATCCACTCCACAAGGCTTACCCATGTCACCAGGGGCTGGCTGGAGCGTCACCGAGGCAGGACAATGGGGTGGTAATTCAAAATAAAATGGATAAGCATTTTCCCCTAATTTTTTCAACAGTCTCTCCTGCAATTTTGTGAGTTGCCTGTGTGGCTGGGTACTTGGTACTGGATAAATTTGTTCAGCGGCTAGATAGAGGTCTTTTCTGAATGTCAGACCGAGTACATCAAGGTCTTCTCTGCCATACCTGAATGCCGCCAGGACGTGCCCGAATACTTTTTGGCCTTTGACGTAGTCAGGATCGATTAGAACTACGCCATCTGAAAATGATTGGATAAAAACCAATTTTTTATTCACTAATCGTTTAAATTCACGAGTTTTCTTCAGAGGATGTGCCTCAAAAATAAATCTAATAGCGAAAGATCCTCACCAATTGGATCTACATGTGTGATGTGATCGACAAAATCCCTCTTTCCGAGATAAACCGTCATCTTGCCATTGGGACTTGATTTCTTGAAAACCCTAGTCGGGGGACGTCTGCTGCAGTCTGAAGCATCTCCGTCCATGTTTTTTCTCTTGTATCCAACAATTTTACCTAGATCATTAGAGTTCCTCTCGTCCTCGGAGAAGTCCGACGTCGAGCACTCGGACTGAAAAATAAAAATAAATATAAAAATGTAACGACTAATAAATTCAATTCCTAAATATGACATTCAGAATGAAAAGTTCGATGGTAATTGAAAATCCGGGAAAACGAGGGGAGAGAATGAAATATATATTTTTCAAACTCAAACACTGGACTGATTGGCTAACGGGATTACGCTTGGAAACTTTATAACGAATACAGACATCCCCTGGCAGCCAAGCCTCATCTATACTTAATGAGACCATTTTGTGCCCACAGAACAGGGAGAAACTTTGATGGCAGTTGGCACGACACTTCAACGCAAATTCGAGTCCATTAAAACCGGACGTAATCAATTGCACGGATCCCCTTGAATAAAAAATTATCGCACCCGCAATTAATTTTTTTTCTGGAATTCACCCCTGACTTTCGTCACCCCCAATAAATCACGATGACAATTCCACCAAAAAGGTGAAAAGATGATGACAATTGTAATTATAATGAAAAAGAGATTATAAGAGAGGAACATCTAGACTTCAAATGTCAGGTGTAACCGGTTGTAGTTATTTAATCAGGCTGCAATTACTGTAATTTCTCAGCGAAAAAATGTTCGAAAATTCCAAAAAGGCGTAGAATATTTATTTGAATTCAATAGCATGTACGTCACGCCTCGTCACTCGCATTAATGCAACAGTTTGATGAATGCACAAAGGAGAAGTTGCGCAGTTATTATTTCTGAAAGAGAATTCCCGGTGGTATTCATGCTGCGCACTAGGGTAATGGCATCTGAATAATCACCTCAGCCATTCTCTGGATGTTTTACTGATTGAACGATCGATGGTATGAAAATTATTGTCGATTTTTCTTTCGGTTTTCCAGACTTTTTTTATTATTGAGATTTAATTGCCTCGATCGACTGTCACTGGGGAATCGTCAGACACTGACTGAACAAATTGACGGAACAAGTCTGTCAGTTTCAGGCTGGGCAGATGGTAATTCATCAGTGAGATGATATCCCATATAATAAATTTGTCGTTTGTCACCGCTGGTTTTATCGTATCGACAGTGTCACATGGTAAAAAATCAATGGCACGTTTTTATGAGAGATGATAAACACCAGGGGGATTTAATTCCTGGGTCAATTCATTATTTCAATTGAGTTAGACCCGTGTCATTGGTAATCACCAGCAATGAATAGTAATTTGGGGTAAATTAAATCAACCAATCTCAAATCTATTCATAATTATTTGAAAATTGATTCGAGAAATAAAATCTGTAATAATATGTATTAAAAATATTCAACCAATACATTTTTCATTAAAATTCAGATATTTATATCTATTTTATATTTATGAATAATTTCCTTCGATTTTCTTTCCCAAAAATAATTTTCAAATCGATGTAAAAAAATTCAAATAAATATGATAAAAGAAAAAATATTGTTTCTCATGAAAAAAAAAACAATCTCCATCAAAACGATAACTCATTATCCCGTAATTAATTTTCGTATCGAAGATAATTCACGGCAATGATCTACCGAATGAGCAACTAATTACCCGCCCCTCCACGGTTGAATTTAATTGGACACTCGAGTCGATTCGAAGAGAAACAAAATAACAAGACTATTCACTGAGAATATTTCTGAATAACTAGGTAATTCTACAAGTTTTCCTCGATTAAAAAATAAATTGCACTGAAAATTGCGAGTGATGGATAAATGGGAAAAAGGGGGAAAAAGGGGAAAAAGGGGGAAAAAGGGGGAAAAAGGGGGAAAAAGGGGGAAAAAGTTATCAGATCCAATGAGAGAGGGTGGGAGGTAATGGAGATATTGAGACCGATGTGAAACACCACGTGATTGCACTGGCATTTGGTACATATTGAATTTCAAGCATTGAGTTCCTGGCTCATGACGTCATTAGCTGCGGTTAATCAGTGGAGTCTTTGATACCGATATTAATATCTTATATTTTTCCATCAATTTTCCGCGAAGACATTCATTTAAAAAATGGGCATTTCACTTATTTTCCCTCGATTGAGATAGGATCAACGAGGTTGAAGGCATGTGTGCACACAAATCCAGAATTATTTCGACAAGAATAACTTAGCGTGAGTCAAGGCTGAATTCTACCCGAGTAAAATGGATATTCCTTGGGATTTCTCAAGATTCCGATCGAATTCAATTTCCCTATTAGATTCAAATTAAAAATATCGGATCCAATAAATAATTGATGAATAGATTTTTAATTGTGGATGTTATCATCGAGATGATTATGAGTTTAATAATTTTCGAGTGAACGTAGCATAAATGGAAAATTTACAAGCTAGAGATTCTGTGACAATTGGTCTATTTCGGTTGTGAGTGATGATGAGATTTTCACAACGAATGCTTTAAATATTTCATGTGAGTTGCTCGAGGGTAAATCCACATGTTTATTAAATAGCGATGAAGTTTTGGTGGTTGTAACGGATTAGCTTCCACCCAATTTCCAACCATTTGGCTCGACCGCAATCAGCTGATTGCTCTCCCCAAGGGCTAGCTAGATCAACGAGCGCAGATTTCATAATCAATGTCTCTAGTTACCCCATAAATGTGATAACCGTTTCAATCAAATCTCAGTCAAGCACAGAATGAGGGGTAGAATACAATATTCTGAAAGCCACGCGTCGATCAGCTCCCGATGAAGAGCTTCACCTAGCTCCGGAGAATCATACATTCCAATTTAATTGGTTGAACTGATTACTGAAGCTATTTAAAGCATTATTGTCCACTGGATCGTTGGATCTTGCTGGAAATCTGATTGTCGTTTCTCCAAAATCGTTCAGAAGTCGTCAGAAAAATCGGTGGAATAATGATTGCTATATTTGGGAGAATGATGGATTTTTGGTGGTGAATAATGGATTATTCGATGAGAATATGGTTTTATGGACTGAAGGACTCATGGGGAATGGAGATGAGTAGAATTTATCAGGAACTGAGCGTTATTTCCGGTCCATTGGGCGACTCCTTCTGCTTTCGCATTCCGGAGATCTTTCAGGTGGAGAAGAAAGCGATGATCATCATTTTCCTTTGAATTGCTTGGGACACCCTCTTGATTGATGGACTCCTTCACAAATGCGTTATCACATCGAGGGATCTCTCATGTTCTTGCCAATACTAGGCTTGAATCATCAGAATCTCCGATTCATTGCGCATCTGGTGCTTTCGAGTGCCTCATCAAACATTCATCGAAGAATGTGAATGGCATTCAGGGGAATTTAAAAGATGCAGAAGAAAAGTTTCTCCGCGTCAGAATAATTTTCCGGGGAAAACATTTTTGTCTTGCGAGCAAAAATGTAAATAGAAAATCTACATCAAAATTTTATGGATTCATAAATAATGTTCAGAGGATTATTCTGCAAACTTGATCCATAAAAATTCTTGGGCACAATAAAATTCATTGAATTCTGCCGAAGAATTAATCGTCAGTGGTGATAAAATACGATTTACTATTCAACTTCGACTGGTTTCAGGAGTCGATCCCTCGATTTTGTACTTATGCCAGATTTTCGTCATCTGGGCCTCATAAATTGGAGGCATAGGAAACTTTTTCCCTGGATTCCTTCATCTTTCGTCGCCCAGAGTAGCTGGGAATTCCTGTGATTGAGGGCCCGCGAAATATCGTGAATACAATCTATTTCACATGTCACCAGCTTTTGAATAATGCACAACGCCACTCGATTTAATGAGCAATACACATTGAAAATGGAAAAGCCCTGGGGCGATGAAAGTACCTCTGGGGGGAGAGAAATCCTGAAAGATAGGGAACAGATTGATAATCTGAATCTGTGCCAACAGATATTCCCTCCAATGCCAAATTTTCCATTTCGATTCTAATCGATTTGAGTCGATAAGAGTTCAAAATTGTTGTTCACTCTCAATAAATATTATTCAAAAGATTTATCTGTACACTTTAGCCATAAAAATTCTATTATTACTGTAATGACCCGAGTAAAAAAAAATTGTAATCAGAATATTTTTTCCAAATTTTCCCAAAATTTCTGGAAAACTTTTCAGAAAATTTTTCTATTGAAAAAAAAAATCGGGAAACAATTGTATTTTTGGGAAATGTTTTAAAAAATTTTTCAAAACCTTTCCGAAAAATAAAATTATTTTGTTTTTGGTTTTTTTTTGGTTCATAAAAAAAAATTCTGAAAAGTGCTCCAAAAATTTTTTGAAAATTTTTATTATTATTGTTATTTTTTTGTGGTAGGAAGGGGAAAATAAGTCGTGGGCCGAGCAGCGGAATGATGTAAAAATTGAAGAATCAAATTTACGGCGGAAAAGTGCACACGTTCTGCGGTCGATAATGATTTCATTACGCAAAAGATGACATCTCTCTCTCTCGGTACGGAGCTCATGTTCCAACGATAAAGTTAACTGGGCCGATAACCTTTAGTTGATAGAAAAAATTGAGTTTCGATGGAATTGGGTCACTCGGAAATTTACCATTGCGCAGTGCGAGTTTTCAGATCAAATTTTGCTGAAGGTCGATGCAAATTCCAAAGAAAAAAATCATTCCCCAATAAATCGATGAATCGTGTGAATTCTTTTGATTTTTCCAGCGATAGAATTTTTTTTTGGAAAGTATTATTCTCGACGCTGGAAATTCCGTGCAGTAAATTTCGATTAGTCTACCACTGGAACGAGGGAAATTTGCACTCTGGAGCGGATGTTATTCCAGGTCCGAAGAGAATTTCACCGAGATTCATACCTAGGGGTTTGCATTGCATGATTGATACCCCCGGCTGTCACAGTCGTGATTCATCACCTAAGTTACGTAACTGGATATTTATTTCGCGATAAAAAACCTCGGACCGTCACGAAAATGATATTACCCCGGGCGCAAGAATAACTATAAATACGTCGACGGATTGCCCTAGTCGAACGCATTAATAGATTTGTAATTATCAATTGCAATTTTAATTACGAAATCGAGAGATCGGAATTGAACATTTTCCTGCGATGTTTAACAGCGAATATCTCGC